TACTTTTTTTCCTTCTGCAGGAACATTAGCTTAATCTGATTTTAATCCAGGTGCCTTCACAACCAGCAGAACACGCAGGACTACTCTCTGAGTCCTCTGACTTTTTAAAAAAGTTATTGTTGTTATTTTAAATGTGGTATAAATCACTTTAAAAATTTGAAACAAGCTGTTTGAAATATATACACATACTGTGTTTTTGCACAAAATTCAATACCTTAATGAGACTAAAAAGAGCAATAAACCCAAAGAAATTCTATCTTATACAGCTGCAAAGTATCTTTTGTGTGATCAAACAGCAGAGCTGGACCTTCAGATGTCCATATTCTACTACTGCAAACTAAAGAAACAACTAATGTCCTTGGGCTGTCACTAGGAAATGTCTGGTTATATTTGCATTTGGTTTACACAAGAATTTTCTAGTGAATATTGTCTAAGATCAGGAATTTATGCGCATTGTTCCTGAATTAAACAATTTAACATGGTTAGATGTTCCCAACACTTGACAAGGCAGCAATTGCAAGCAGAGGAAAGATAGTTAAATCTACCACTGCACTTTGAAACACAATGAATATTGAGACAGATGTGTGCCTTCCCCTAGACATTCATTTACCAGGACAACTTGTGTTTTATTCACTTCTTTTCAATAGATCCCTGAAATACAAAACAATATGGCCAAAACCAATCAGCAGAAGCTGGACCATTACTCATGGTCAAGTGGCTTGGGTGTATAAGGTTTCTCATAAGGCTGTTTTCTCCATTTCTTCCTATTTGGGCATTGCCAGCTCAGCTGGCACTGCAATAGGACATCTGAAAGGTGTGCAGGCTGTCCTCCCGAGCCTTGCATGCATGACAGCTCTGGCTTCCTCTTGCAAGTGTGCAGTGAGGAGATGGAGTGATTATTCTGTCCCTGCTGGTCTGCCAAGAAGGTGCTTCCAGGCAGGAAAGCAGCTGTCTGTGACCTTGGACTGGTTTTATAGGGTGAGAGGCAGAAGAAGACGCCTTTTCTTACAGAATCCTCACTGCATTGCCCTGATCAGGAAGCTCTTGCCAATGCCTGTACCTGATGGATTGAGATGGATCCTGCTGCCCAAAGCAAGCCCCTTCTCGCTCCCTTCTGACTTAGATTTGCCCCAGTCCTAGTTTTCTGAAGCTGTAGCAAGTGCTCTGATGACAATGTTAGGAGAATGGTAACTTTAGAAGAACTGAAATAGTATTAAAACATCTGGGTCATGAGAAGTGATGTAGTGCCAGTTTGGGTAGAGATCTGCTTAAAAGGCAAATGAACAGAAGTGGCAAGGAGGGAGGGAGCAAGTGAAAAGTGAAATTAAATGTTTCTGGAGATAAATGGAAGCAGCTCTGCATCCCCAGCAATGAGGAGTAAAAGAAATTATAACGAAATGCAGGCAGCAATTAAGAAAAAATCCATGTGCTTGGGGGTAGTTGAACCTGGCAGGGCAAGTCAGAGGGATGAGCATCCTCTGGGTCAGGCTTTCCAAGCTTCTGAAAAACATCTTGTGGGCTGGGAAGAGATTGCCCTTAGCAGTGGGATGGAGGCTCCAGGACCTGCTCCACGGTGCCACCATGTCTGGCTGGAAGGCGTGGGGGCCATGGTGGGGCAAGGGCAGCCAGACCAGGGCATTTGGCAGAGGCAGATCAGGCTCACAGCAAGTCAGCACAAAGAGCTGGTGCCCCTGCTGAGGACAGTAGAAGTTGGCCAGCCAAAACTTTGGTTGTTGCCAAAAGTGTAAAACATTTACATAAAACTGTTTTGCTCAAGCAGACAAGAGAAACATATTCTCTCCTTTTTCTTTTTAATATTTATTTTCTTCATTCATTCCCCTGCCAGGAAACATGCCTATGGAAGGTTAGGGCTGACCTGCTTTTTATTCCCCTTTCTTCATGGGAGAGCCTATCTCAGGATGAACAGCCTCTGTGGGACTTGGTCAGGATAGGTTGAAATAGGAACTGTTCTGGTTTGGGCTGTAATATATACTTTTCTTTTTTAAAAAATGTGGTTTCTTGGTATTAGAAAACAACCAATTGTGCAGCCCAGCATGTGCTGTGGTTGATTGCTGGAGGAGTGATTCCTTTGCTGAAGCTCACATGGAATGTTGTAAACTGAAGGGTTTCTATGGCTTTGGGGAACTAAGCACCACAGAACAGGTCCTGGGAACTTCCCTGCCAGCAGGGCTGGGGCTCTGCATCTTCTGGGACATGCCAGCTTCTCCTGTGTGTCCCAGTGCATGGGGGCAAGCCCCAGTTGGAGTTTCCTAACAGAAAATAGTTCTGAATTTAATCATCAGCCTAAATATTTTTTGGCTGCAGAGAAGTCCTGGACTCCTAAGATGTTGCTGTATGTGCTGCTGTGTCCACATTAGAGTGCCTGTAAGTCCCAACACAGCTCAACTCACAGGCAAGGTCTTTGTTTTCTACACATTTTGGTGGGTACAAACCCACCAAATAAAATAGTAGGAATCTAAAAGTGTCATCAATTGCCACAGTTCATCCTCTCCCCTGGAAGTGTTGCCTCTCCAAAACAAAAACTTCCCCAAGGGACAGATAAAGCTCTATGGCTCTGTGCTACACTTGCCAGTAAACTTTCTTCCATGACTTTGTTCAAATACAGTTTCTTTTACCTGGGAAGAGCTCAGCAAAAGCATTTTTCTATTGCAGCTTCTTTGAAGCAGCACATGTCAAAATCCCTGATGCTGGGGCAAGGCAGGGACCAGCCATGGGCAACAGTCCCTGGTGTCCTGGACTGCCTCCTGCCTCTTCAACAGACCTGGTAAGGGACTGCTGGAAAAAGAACCGATCCTCACTCTTATTCAACATCTTTTCAGTTGTAGAGAGCAGAAAAGTCTTGTCTGAGCCTTGTTTTCTCCAGGCTAAACATGCCCTCCTCTCAGCTGCTCCTCATGGGATTTACTTGTCCAGACCCTCCACCAGCTTTGTTGCCCTTCTCTGCACTGTCTTCAGCACCAGTTGGAGTTTCCTAACAGAAAATAGTTCTGAATTTAATCATCAGCCTAAATATTTTTTGGCTGCAGAGAAGTCCTGGACTCCTAAGATGTTGCTGTATGTGCTGCTGTGTCCACATTAGAGTGCCTGTAAGTCCCAACACAGCTCAACTCACAGGCAAGGTCTTTGTTTTCTACACATTTTGGTGGGTACAAACCCACCAAATAAAATAGTAGGAATCTAAAAGTGTCATCAATTGCCACAGTTCATCCTCTCCCCTGGAAGTGTTGCCTCTCCAAAACAAAAACTTCCCCAAGGGACAGATAAAGCTCTATGGCTCTGTGCTACACTTGCCAGTAAACTTTCTTCCATGACTTTGTTCAAATACAGTTTCTTTTACCTGGGAAGAGCTCAGCAAAAGCATTTTTCTATTGCAGCTTCTTTGAAGCAGCACATGTCAAAATCCCTGATGCTGGGGCAAGGCGAGGACCAGCCATGGGCAGCAGCCCCTGGTGTCCTGGACTGCCTCCTGCCTCTTCAACAGACCTGGTAAGGGACTGCTGGAAAAAGAACCGATCCTCACTCTTATTCAACATCTTTTCAGTTGTAGAGAGCAGAAAAGTCTTGTCTGAGCCTTGTTTTCTCCAGGCTAAACATGCCCTCCTCTCAGCTGCTCCTCATGGGATTTACTTGTCCAGACCCTCCACCAGCTTTGTTGCCCTTCTCTGCACTGTCTTCAGCACCTCAATGTCCTTCCTGTAGTGAGGGTCCCAAAACTGAACACAGGATCTGAGGTGTGGCCTCACCAGTGCCCAGTACAGAGGGACAATCACTGCTCTGGTCCTGCCGGCCACACTATTGCTGATCCAGACCAGGATGCAGCGCCGGTGGGGCGGCGGCGGGCACGGCCCGGGGGTGCTGCCGGGGCCGCGAGGGGAGCCCCGCTCGTCTCCTCCCGCTCCCGCGGAGCGCCGGCAGCGCGGAGGCCGCTCGCGTCCCTTCCCGGGGCCGGTGGGAAGCCTCGGGCCGGCAGGCCAGGCGAGGGGCCGGTGACAGCAGGGGCAGATCCGCGACCTTTCCCGGCCGGGCCGGGGCGGTGGCGATGCTGCGGCTCCCAGGGAAGCGGCAGCCGAAGCATCCCGGTGCCTCCGTGAGGTGGGGGTACAGAGGGAGAGGCACAGCTCCTTGAGAACAGGGGTTAGGGGGGGCGGAATCCGAATAAATAAAAGTGGAAAATGCAGCAGGTTCTTAGGCGTCTGCGAGATTTCTGTTGGCCCAAGAAAATGCTTGGGAGTTATCTGTGAAATGGCAAACAAATGAAAAATGCCTTGGGTGCCGCAGTGCTGTGGCCAGGGGCAGTTGGAGCTGCTCTGGCCAAACACAGACTCATCTCCTGGCCTTTGGGGTACGTGCTTTTGCCCCAGAGAAGTTTAAGTATTACGCTGAGCACGATGCAATAAAGCATAGTATTGCGGGTTGTGTTTAGTCATCTTTGCAAGGCCTTGTCAGTGCTGGCTCTGCAGTAGAAATGCTTAATGCAAAATTGTTGTGTTTAAATTCTGTACATAAAATTGTATTAATAACCTCTTCTCATAACCAGTGTTGAAATGATTGCTATTTTATCTGTGCAAGGTCACAGAGAGCTTGCAGTTTTTTGCCTTGCTACATGACTGGTTGACATTGTATTTAATGCAGTTGATACATTTCTGGTGAGGAACCCCTTTCCAAGCTTCTGACTATTTTCGGTTAGTCAGTCTTTGAAAGACATCATATTTCTGAAGCACACTGAAGCAAACCTGCATTTAAATCTGTTCCTCACTGTCAATTTCAACTTTGGGAAGCTACTTGACTCTCTGGAAATTGCCTAAGTCAGTTTCACGTCAGGGATACATGTGAACAGACATCTATCTCTCTCCCAGGACAGCAAAGAACAGCAAGAAACTCAACTCCCCTGAAGGATTTGTTTACTTTTTGCAGGTATATATTTCCTTTTGCCATATCCAGCCCTACTAATATAAGCTGCTTTCTTTTACCACAGACTGAAGATTTCTCTGAAGCATAATCTTCAAGATGAAGTTCTTACTAGCAATTTTATGTTTCATCTCATTCTCCTTATGGATTGAAGAAGCCTATTCCAAAGAGAAGTCTTCAAAGAAAGGAAAAGGGAAAAAGAAGCAATATCTATGTCCATCGTATGTTCCTGCTTTCTTTTATGCTTTTGTATGATGGTGAACCTGCCCTGTTTTTAACAGTGGAAATTATGTGGCAATTGGAGTAGAAGGTGATGCTTCTGGTAGAGGGATGGGGTCTGTGGTGGGAATGGGTTTGACCAGCATCATTCTGTCATTGTGTTCCTTCTGCAGCAAGTCTGTTTTAATGCAAGGGGAAGATATAAGCCACAACAATTGTTCCTTTTCTTGTGGTGGATTTCAACCCAGTGCCTTGCTATTTATGGGGACACAGTAGAGTGGTCCCATAGTGCTGTGCTGTCTAGCATCATGTTGCAGGTGTATTGGGGATAGCAAGGAGGGTGCAAAACTCTCATGGTGAAATTCAGCTTCTGGTTAGCTAATTCTGTAAGAGAAGGCTTGTCCTACACATATTACAATTGCATGTTGAATAGAACTAAGGTCTTCAGCATCTTTCATCAATCATGTTTAATTCTATAACTTTTATGGAAGTGGATGTATTGATTGTTACTATAAGGTATGCCCTTGTGGAATAATCTCCCTGTAGAAATACAGAAATTAGAATCTGTGATTGCCCAATTGAATAGAGGATGTGTTCTGGACACCTATGATTACTTGATGTTAAAGAAACCTCCCTCTTTCTAATGCCTACCACACTTTACATTGTGATCCATAGGACAATATTTTATTTGTGAGTCCTATTTTTATAATTTTCTTGGCCAGCCTTACTAATTTTTAGTGTTATGTTGTAAATATATGTGGAAAAGATTGATGGACTGCGATAAATTGCCAGTAAGTGTAGAAAATTACTATGACTGAAATAATAAAATTGTTTAGACACAGTTAAAACATATTTCTTCTTTGACCGTAAAAGAAGAGGTACAGAATGTTAGACTGGTTATTTAACATTAATCAATTTTTCCAAAGAAAAAACAAAGTAAAAGTGGAATAATCAGACAGAAGCATTGTTCAAGTAATACTTTTTAAAGTTTCTATTCTTTTCAAATATTGACAGAGATGTTTATTTGTAACCTAAAATTTTAGAATGTTTCTACATATGATGCGTGTCTTCCTTTTCTTTTTTTTATATCAAACCAAAAAAATTATATTTGTTGTTAGATTTGAATACATTAAGATGTGTCTCAAATGTGATCATGACTCATCTGAAATGACCCCTACCCATTCTTTCCCTTTTAAAAGTTAAGTTGAGTCTGGATGAGGTTTTTGGTCTGAGCTACTGTGAGAGTTTATAGCAAGGAGAGAAATGTCAGGGTTCCCAGGACAGGCATCAGAACAGAAGCCTTTGAAAAGTAAGTTAGACAGCTGGGAACTGAAACCAGGTCTTCCATGGTCTTGTTTAAATAGCCAGCATTTCCCCCTGTTCTTGACTTAGTCTTAGAATTCAAAACGGCAATGTCATTTTATCTTTGTGAGTGGATTTTTCTTGTTTGTTTTTATTTTAAGCCCTGTATTTCTTGGTACCATTAAATATGATGTCATTTGTCACCAATACACTTGAAAAAACATTGAATACATGCTATCATTTTCAAAGTGATACTTTCCCAGTTGAATTTGTCTGCAAAAATACCAGTGAATCCAGTACTTTTGATCCATTGTGCCATGTTGCCGGCAAGACTTGCCGTTGCAATAAGTCCTATTCCATCTCCTGAATAATGACCAAGTTGTCTATATCTCACTTGACTGAAGTTCACAGCTTGAGAGACAACCACTTGTAATAGTGGGGTTGCTGTTTCTGTGGCTGGCATCTAGAAGACCTGTCATGTGAGTGAGTGATGAAAATCAACTCTGTCTGGCAGAGAAATTGCCCAGTGCTCTCTTAACTCAGGCTGCTGTTGGCAAATTTCCAATCATCAGCATTTTTTAAATGATCGTTCACAAAATTTATTGATTTGGTGACACTCTGTTTTGTAAAAGAAGTTGCCTACTAATAGTAAATTTTTCATTGTGAAAAAAGTAAGGTATCTTTCCTCAGAATCAAACCAAAACATAATGCAGTGGAGAGGAAATCAAGTGACACTATAAGGGTTGACTAAAACTACTCAAGGAAGTGTCTAAATTAAAAATTTTCTAGTAATCTTGAAAAAAATATTTTAGAAGAATGCATGTTATTTTTTTAACAAAACAAAAACCCTTTTGTATAATTTATAAAATTAAATGGTACAAATTCCTAATGTAAATGTACTTTTATGAGTTAAACTCTTAATCCACTTTTAATTTGCATTGGTTACTGGTGCAATAAAATTTAAAACTTAATTGTAACAAATTTTTGCCTTTTATCTCCTTGCAGCATGTGAAAAGCTAAATTTTAATTCTTCAAGAGAACAAAAAACTGCGTTAGTAGTTGTATGTGGAGCAATCCTCTCTTGCAAACTTCATAATGAAATTCAAATCTATGCAAATCATTATTCAGGAAAAAATTTTTTTGAATCTCATATTACTGCCTGAGTTCCTTAATTTGATGTTAAGAAATGGGTGGCTACAAGACTGGCTTGGGACTTTATCACAAATTTGTTTGGATAAAAATTAAGCATACTTGAACTTTTCCTTTTATGGCTCTCCAGAATACAAGCCTTTTGCCAAATGTGCCCCTCTGGCATGAAATTAACTACTCTTAGGATAAGATGAAAACAAGTTGATTAGAAACCCCATAAAACGTTCATTATTGTCTCATAAGCAGATATTTGCTTCCTTACATCAGGAAAATTCTATTTTGTATCTTAGAGCAAACCCTCGTGATTATTCATGATGCTGTACTTCTCAGTACATTGTGTGATACTGGCTTGATTTACCATCTTATTTTCATTTATTCCTGAAACTGTTTTTCCCAGGTTTTAATTGAAGGGTTTCTTGAAGCTGATACTAAATCATTTGGTTCTTACTTTGATTTAATGCTTTCTCAGAACAGATGTAAGATTTCACATCTTACATTTAGATCGTTTTCTTTCTTACCTCAGGCTTTCAAAGTGAAACATAGAATAATTATACTTCTGTCTGGTTCCTGAATCTTTGTTGATTAACAAAGAAATTTACATATTGGGCCTAAAATGTTACAATAGAGAGTTTTGCACCATAAATCTGAGAAACTGGCTTCCACAGATTCAAAGTGCAATGAAGTACAAAGCTTCTGTAACAAAACTTTTGCCTTTTGTTTGCCATGGAAAATCTTTTTAAAAAAATCAGGCCCACCCCTTCAAGAAAAAAAAAAAAAACAAACCAAAAAAACCCACCAAAAAAACAACAAAAAAAAAAACCAAAAACAAAAAAACCCCCAAACCCTAAAAAACTGTATTAAAAAACCAAAAAAAACCCCAAAAACAAAAAAAAACCCCAAACCCTAAAAAACTGTATTGCTGTTTACAAAGCTTATTTTGAAATTTCATATACTTAATACAGATGATTTCTATACAGCTACAGATGGATTAAATTATTTTATCTCTTTCCTGCTCACAGACTTTGTTACTTAGTTCTTATTAACTTCTTCATAATTCCTTATAATACCTTGCTTCTCTTAAACATGTGGGACAGTTAGCTGTGACTTAGAGCACTGCTGAAAAATGCTTTTCCTTTTGTTACACCATAATAAACACTTCAATTATTTTATGGTGTTTGAGCTGCTGCTCTTATCTCCACAATCCTTAGCAGCCTGGAAGGTCTCTACTAAAAACTACTCACAAGATTTCTAGATGAAATGAAATTATAAGAAAAGGGAAGCTTGGTTATTACAGTGTTAGAAAAGGAATAGATAAGTAAGAGTGTCACATAGCAGCTAACAAAACCAGTAATGACTGTGGTCATCATCACAGCTATCCCTGTTAATTATAGTTTTAGGATGACTCAGCTGTTCACTTGCACAGCTTTCACCTCTGAAGATCTCTCAGCCTCCCTAATGCCACAGCAATGCTGAGAGCAAAACCTCACTTGCTAAATCTCATCCTTTTGTCTGGATAGCAGGACTCTGCTTTGAAAACAGCATTCCTCTTCACCTTTATGCATTTGTCCACATGGAGATTGGTATCCTTGTAGATGATTTATAAATACTGTATAATATCTACAGAGACCCTTTTTTATGCACAGAGCAGGACTACAAATCATATTTGGCTTGTATTGAATAAAGCATATCAGCTACTTCAGAAACTGTGAAATGGCCCTCTAAGCCCTCCAGAAAACATGGCTTGTGCCATCTGCCAGGGCAGAAGCTTAGAAAGGTCACAGATGCAAAGGTTCAATAAACAGGCTTCTTTTAAAAAAACAACAACAAAAGACAGTGGAACTAGGGAAAAAAGGCTTTGTTGTGTTTAAAGCAGATTTGTATGAAATTCTGTCCTCAAATTTCTCTTGGTTAACTTTAAGCTTCTGATATGCTCTTCCTATTAAGACTAAAGTAAAAGTTCCAAATAGATTTTATACCGTGGGTCCTCTCCACTTCTCCATGAACTGTAACTTTTTTTTATCAAGCCTTTGGGTATATATCACCTCTCTGTCTGTAGCAGGTGATCAACCCCAAAATGTAATTGGTGGGAAAGTGGCATTATGTCTCTCCTCATTCCCATCATCTAGAAGACAGTGTTGATAGTCAGTGAACATTTTCATTTGTAGGTGTAGTGGAAGGGTTTATACACTTTGTGGGAGGAGGTGGAATGAAGTTGAAAGGAAAGCCTGAGTTTGGTTGTGGAAGAAGATACATCTGACAGTCATTCCAATGATAAGTACTTTGCAGAGCCCAGGTCTTGTTCCTATAAAAATTCTTCTGCCCTGTGGTAACTGCAGTTGGTCAATGCTTTTATTATTCTGTGTCATGTAACTCTCATGGAAAGCTGTGATCCCAGACAGGGCCACATTCCAGAAGGTTTGTGAATTTGTTTTCAAAATGGTTAAATGTGGTGGGCAGTAAAAGATGAAGCTGTATGAGCAAAACGTAAGCTGTCGTGTAAAACAGTAATTAAGTATGAGAGACTGGGTATCATTCAGTAACTTTCCCTCTC